CCGCCATGATATCCCCCCCCCCCCCCCCCCCAGTCATCACCCCCCTCTTTGCCGCCCCCGAAAACCGCGGCGCTCGAGGGTCGGAGCACCTGCCCGCGAGCCTGCCGGCGCCCCCGCCCGCCCGCGGCGCCTGCCACTCCGCGGTGGCGGTCTCGAGGCGCCGGGTGGCCAGCTGCGCGCTGGCCGAGGCCTGGCGCGCCCCCCCCGCCCGCGGCCCCGCCGGCCTGCCCTCGCCCCGGGGCCTCCTTGGGGCCGTCGCTGCGGCGCTCTCGGGCCCGAGGTCGGCCGGCTGGCCCCCTGCCCGTGCTGCTGGCGTCGTCGCCGCGTGTTTCTGCGCAGTTCTTGTCGGAGATCACCGTGCCGCCCGCCTGGCATCCACTGGCTGTGGTACCGGCCTGGTCGAGCTCTGCTGTGGCCGACAGCGACGCATGGGAACTTGACCAAAGTGCCCCCGGCTGTTTTTTTTTGCTTGGTAACAAAAACCAGCACCCCGCATCTGTGGAGAACAGTGAAGGGGCGGGCGCGGCCGACGCGGCCGTCGAGGCAGCGGACTTCGCGGTCCTCGCCTTCGCCTGAGTCTCGGCCCCCTCGCTTGTTTCCGTTTGCTCCCCCTCCTCCTCCTCCTCCTCCTCCTCCTCCTCCTCCTCCTCCTCCTCCTCCTCCTCCTCCTCGTCGTCCCCCTCCTCCTCTTCCTCCTCCTTCTCGTCCTCCTCCTCCTCCTCCTCCTCCTCCTCCTCTTCCTCCTCCATTCTTGGTCCATATAAATCACTTGTCCCTGTCGTGCCCCGAAGCTAGTTTTTAGGTCGGGCCGGGCGTTTCGCCTGAGACGGCCTCACCACTTATTATTCCGAAGCTTCAAAGTCGGCAATGGTTTCACAGATGGAGGGCGGTTCGTTTTCAAAATGTGGCTCTCGCCTTGGCACGGCGCACATTCGTTTTACAATTTTGCAAGAGCTTCACGGATTGAGGGCGGACCGCTTTCAAAATGTGGGCCTCGCCTAAGCGACGCGCACATTCGTTTTAAGAATTTGCAGAACTTTCGCCAATTGAGAGCGGGCCTTTTTCAACATGCGGCTCTCGATTAGCGCCGCGCACATTCGTTTTCAAGAATTGCAAGCGTTTCACGGATTGAGGGCGGCTCCTTTTCAAAATGCTCTCGCCTTTAGCGCCGCGCACATTCGCTTTAACAATTTACAAAGGGCCCCAGGGATTCCCATCATCAGCGTACAAGACATGGTGTTTGTTGGAAGGATTCAGGATTAAGCGGGCGCAGCAGTTACGTTGATTCGCTGTGTTGAGCTCCCAAGAACGGCGTTCTCGCACGACTCAGGATGGCTAAGACGCAACATCCAAGTTGATCCGTGGCGTTGGAATCCCGAGAACACTGTTCTGGGATGCTTCAGGGTCTTCCAACGGTTGTCCTCAATGAGCATGAGTTTTTGTAGGGGCCTATGAAAACGGTGCTTGGAGGGAGGGTATATTCCAATATCGTTGATGACTCTTGGGTTTACACTGGTCCTCCTCCACCTACTGCTTCTCCTCCTGCTTCTGCTCCTCCTCCTGCCCAGGTGGGTTGCGGGCGGGTCGCGGGATGGATCGCGATTGGGTCGCGGGTTGGTCGCGGGGTGGGTCGCAAGGCGGGTCGCGGGTGGGTCGCGGGGTGGGTCGTCGGTGGGTCGCGGGGGTTCACGGGGTAGGTCGCGGGTGGGTCGCGGGGATGGGCGCGAGTGGGTCGTGGGTGGGTCGCAGTGTGGGTCGCGGGTGGGTTGCGGGGTAGGTCGCGGGTGTGTCACGGGAAGGTCGAGGGTTGGGTCGCGGGTGGGTCGCGGGCTGTGTCGAGGGTGTGTCGCGGGGTAGGTCGCGGGGTGGGGTTCGCGAGGTGTGTCGCGGACTGGGCCCCAGGGGTGCCTGGCGCGCGTGGCGTCCCTGGCAGGCGTGGCGCACCTCGCCCAAGCGTCGCGCACCTGGGGTCGGCTTTGGTTCCCAGTAGCTGCCCATCCAAAGACGACCGCTGAACATGCTCAGGCTCGGGTGTTCCTTATGTGTTGGGAAGGCGGGTAGGAGTGAGCTGGACGGCTTGCGGGCGGGTGGATAGCTTGACTCCTCCCCCTACCCCTCCCCCTGAACCTATAGGGGGGGGGGCGGAGAGGTGCCGGAACATGGTTTTGGGCTCAAGATGGCACCAAGAGGGCTTCCGCGAGCTCGAGATGATGGCCCAAGATAGTGCAGAGTTGTTTAAGATGACTTCCTACAAACTCCAAGGTGTTCCTATACCAGTCCAAACCAAGTTCACGTGGCCTCGGAGCCTACAATGAATGCCCGAACGAACCAACATCCGTCAAACAATGGAGGAACATCAATGATGTTGTCTTCTCGCACTTTCGCGTCCGATGGCTTCCCGAGGCATCAAGATGGCTTCAAGACTGCCCCAAGATAGCCCCAAGAGGGGCCGAATATGGCACCAGGGCGGCCCCAAGAGCGCCCCAGGAGGGCCACACGATAGGGGCTCCAGAGGTGGGTCCATAGTTGGACCGCCCCCCCTTTGATCAATGAGCATTATCCCAGTGCGACCCTACCTAGGAGTTGGAGCCCCTAGGAAAGCAGCATTAGTAGTAACAGTAAAGCTAAGCTACAGCTAAGCTAAATCTAAGCTAAAGCTAAGCTAAGGCTAAGCTACAACTAAGCTAAACCTAAACTAAGGCTAAGCTAACTCTAAGCTAAGGTTAAACTAAAACTAAGCTAACGCTAAGCTACAGCTAAGCTACAGCTAAGCTAGAGCTAAGATACAGCTAAGACAAAGCTAAGCTAAAGCTAAGCTAACGCTAAGATAAAGCTAAGTTAACACTAAGATAAAGCTAAGCTACAGCTAAGCTAAAGCTAAGCTAAAGCTAAGACAAAGCTAAGCTAAAGCTAAGCTAAAGCTAAGCTAACGCTAAGCTGAAGCTAAGCTGAAGCTAAGCTAACGCTAAGCTAAAGCTAAGCGAACGCTAAGCTAAAGCTAAGCGAAAGCTAATATACATATAAGCTACAGCTAAGCTAAAGCTAAGCGAAATCTAAGCTAAAGCTATAGCTACAGAGAAAGCTAAAGCTAAAGCTCCCAGGGGACTGGGGGAACCGCCCGGGGCGATTTATACTGCCCGGCCCCTTTAAGCTAACAGAGTAAGAACCCTTCTAGGCAGAGCCTAGGTAGGGAACTTTGGAAACACACACACACAGGTGTTCAACGAATGGTGCATTTTCGGAAGAATCCGTCGGAGGCGTTTGACCCGTGGAGGCTCCAAGGTGGCCCTAAACTCTTTCAGACTGCCTCGAAGATGCCGCAGTGTGGTCCAAGTTGGCCCACGATGGCTTCCATGATGCCACCAAAAATCACCATGATGGCCCCAAGATGGCTTGAAGTGGCTACGGAGACTCCCACGGAAGCCCCGAAGAGGCCACATTCAGTCCACAACCTAAGGAACATCAATGGTGTTGGCCCTCTCGCCCTTTCGCTTCCGATGAGCTCCCTAGGCTTCAGTATGGCTCCCAGATGGCCTAGGAGGGCCCAACGAGAGACCCAACCATGGCCCCACAATAGCCCCAAGAGCGCCCCAAAATCGCTGATCCCACCAGCCAATTCCACCAGCTCTGTGGGCGAAGGTGGTCTAACAACATCTGTTTCCCTCTTCCAAAACACCCTCTTCCCTTCGGGGAGGGATGCTCTCTCCCCTCCTCTCCCCGATGTTATTTTTAGGCGGGTCGCGAGGTGGCAGAGGGTCCGCTGTCGCCCAAAATAGCTCCAAGAGGGCCCCCGATGCTCCAAAGATGGCCTCCAAGATGGCTCAAGATAGTGAGCGTGTTCTTAATCCGCGTTTCGAGATTGGACGGACGGGGGGGGCAGTGGGGGGGTCTGCCTCTGGACCTCTGCTGAATGCGACTGCTTGCAGCAGTGCGAGACTCCACCTGCTCGAAACAGTCGCTCCAAACAGCAAAGATCTGCTCCATCGGGGGGAGGTGGGGGGGGCGAGGGCCCGCGCCGATCGGCAAGACAATAATCCGAAAAGTAGCCGGCGATTGTCCCAGATAGCCACCAAAATGCCTGACGTGGGGTCACAAGGCGGTTCCAAGCGCCCTTGGAGCCACCTCGAGCCCCACCCCCCACGAGGCCAAACAACATATGTCGAAACAGACGGGGCATCAGTGAGCTGTGCCTTCTCGCCGTTTCGATTCCGCCACGCCTTTCAGGCCTCAAGCCGGCCCAGCGATGGCCAAAAAGAGAGGCCCCAAGGGGGGGGGCCACGAGGCCCTCCAGACGGCCCACGAGGGCCCCAGAGCGGCCCAAGAGGATCCCAAGAGGCGACACTGATGGCCCCTTGGGGGATGGGTGGGGTGGGGGGGGGAGGGAGGGGCAAACGTTGGGACCCCCCCCCTTTTGATCGATTGATGGCCTTCAGGGTGGCCTCCAGGGCTCCCAAGGGGCCCCCAAGAGGGCTCCATGAGGGCCCCAGGAGGCCCCAAGACCCCCCCAGAAGAGCCCCAAGAGGAGTCCCGAGAGGACCCCAAGATTAGATTTAGAGGACGCTGTCCTCGTCCTCCTCCTCCTCCTCCTCCTCGTCCTCGTCCTCGTTCTTGCCCTCATCGTCTTCCTTCTCCTTTTCCTCCTCTTCCTCGTGGTCGTGGTCGTCGTCGTCGTCCTCCTCCTCCTCCTCCTCCTCCTCCTCCTCCTCCTCTTCCTTCCGTCGCCCCCACGAGGGCCCGAGGGATGGCCCGACGAGGCCCTCCAGGCCACCCCCTTGGTCCCAGAGATCTCTCTGTTCACCTTGCTCGCTTTGTGTCACTACATGGATCTCTTCGTCCCTTTCCCCGTCAACTCTCATTGGCTGGGTTTTTGAACGGGCTTGTGGCTTGTGAGGCTACACGAAGGGTGAATAATTAAGCGCCCCCCTCGTTGACCGATATTCTCCAAGATGTTCCCAAGAAGGCCTCCAAGGCCCCCAAGAGAACAACAAGAGGGCCCCCATATTGCCCTACGAGGCGCCCAAGCAGCCCGAAGAGGTTCCCCAAACGCCCCCAGGAGGCTCCCAAGCGGCCCCCAACAGGCCCCAAGAGGCCCCACATCCCTGATCAGCGCCACTCGCCGAGGCATCGTTTTCGGATGGTCTGGCAAGCTAACGCGAAGCAGCGAGAATCTGAAACGGAGGTGTCCTCGAA